TTCCTGTTCTTCTTTTTACTTGAAGATGATGATGTTGGTGCAGATTTAAAAGAACAGCTCTGCGATTTTGAGATTTTTTTTCAGTGGCTTTGCATGAAAGCAATGACATTGCTGATCGTGCTTAGCTGCTAATTTTCATTCATGGAATAGACGAGGCATTTCAAATCACTGAGGAGCTTGCAGCACTCCAGACGCTTCATGGGAAAACTACAGGTGAAGACTTGTTTTGGAGATTTGCCAACACTATTAGGGAACTCGGTCTGTCTTGGAGTCAACATGGTAGACCACAAGACTGGACTGACTGCGCTGGTGCATAAGGAGATTGATTTGTGCAATGCTGAAAGGCCAATGGCGTTGCATGGTATTAATCACCAACCTGCTCTGTGAGGGAAAGTTCTAAACTTGGAAAATGTAATGAAAACTATGGTGGTCACTGTCAACTTGATCAGGGCACATAGGTTGAATCACCACTCTTTTCAAGCATTCCTGAAGGAAATTGATTCAGAATAATGAGGTATGTTGGCTTAGTCACGGAAATGTGCTCAAACATTTCTTCGCCTTGCAGAATTAAATCAATATGTTCAGGAATGAAAAGTCTAAAAATGTACCTAAACACTCAGATCCAATGTGGTTGTAGGGATTTGGCAATTCTAACAGATTTAACACACCATTTGACCTATCTCAGATTGAAGTTGCAAGGTAAAGAAAGGCTTGTTTCCCAGTTATACTCAGATGTGAAAGCCTTTCACGCAAAACTGAAACTCTTGTGACAACACTCAGAGAGGGGAACACTATCTCACTTTCCTTCTTGTGAAGAACTCAGGATGAAAATGTCAGTGTTCCGGTTCCATGTGCCCAAATGGTAAAATGACTAGACCTCTTGGATGAGAATTTTGAAGTCAGATTTTCCAAATTCAAGTCATAGGCAATTGACATCTGTCTGTTTGAAAACTGTTTTGTTTCTAACGTGGATAATGTCCTTGTCTCTCTGCAAATGGAATTGACTGAACTGCAATTTAACTCCTATTTAAAAGACATATTTCACAAAAAGAAACTGGTGGAGTTTTCCTCACTGCTGCCCAATAATCGTTTCCAAAATCTGCGCAAATTTGCTAGATGAATGTGTACAATTTTTGGCAGCACATACATCTGCGAACAAATTTTCTCAGTTATGAAGCAGAATAAGTCTAAGCTGCGGTACCTCCTAACAGATGACCACCTGCATGCTGTATTTCAGATGAGCGTCTCTGACTTTGAGCCAAATTTCAACAAACTGGTTGCTGAGAAACCACCTTAGACTTCTCACTAACTCAGAAAGTGCACTCTTTGTTTGTGATTATGGAGACGGTTATTTGTTCTTTACTGGTTTATTCCTGTTTTCTGTCATCCTGATACACATTTTATTCACTGATTTCTTTGTTTTTTAAATAGACAACACTGTACATAGAAACAATCTGTCTAAATATATACAAAACAGGCTGAACTTAAAATATAAATCAATACAGGTGACTTTAAATCTTACGAAAATATGTAGAATCTGTTTGATCCACATAAGGTTGTGCTTAGGGTTATGTGGACCTCTCGTGTAGAAAGGTTGGGCACCACTGCTAAATGACCTTGCAATCTCAATGCATTTGGCCCCTTAATCTCCTAATTCAAATAATTTCTGAGGACTCTGACAACAGGCCCACAAGCCGTTAACTGAGCTCTCCATCCCATGATTTTTAAGGAAGAGTGTAAGAAGGAAAAGAAAGTTTTTGATTAGAAAATATATGTAATGCTCTAACCACTTTCTCTTCTGGGTCTCCCAGTGAGTCTTGCCTTATCAGTGTCTGCATTTTAAACTGTAAACTTCTTGGGCATGCATTGTCTGCAAATGTGCCTTTGTACTGTGCCCATCACGAGTGCTTAATAATCTCCATTTAGAGTGCTGATTCCAAAGGAAAACTGCTACATTTCTGAAATGAATGGCTATAGTGGAAACATTGCTGAGCAACAGTTATTGTCCCTAGGATTAAATACTGATCTCCGTTTTACCTTTGTGTAAATATTCACTTCTCAAAAATAAATCTGGATAACAAAATCTGTTGAGCTGAACATTGCTTATTATTTGAAACTTCTGATACTCTCCCATCTCTAAATAGCAGAAGTTTATTCAAGTAAAAAAAACCCCAAAACCAGACATACTTGCAGTTGGCAACACACACAGAATGCACATGCAGATCTGCATAAAATCTCCTCTCCAAAAGAAAGTGCCACCTTTGTTGCCCAAGTGCCAAGTAAAATAATAAATTCAGAATCTTTTCAAATGACTGTTTCCAAAGCAGTAGTAAAGAACAAAAAATGGCTGCTGCTTTTAGAGCCCTTTTGCCCCTTCATTCTTAATACCTACCACACAATCTAACTGCAAGTTAGACAGCTTGGAGTGTGGGGGAAGAGGAGCTTTTTCCCTAGAAGGCAATAATACAAAGTGTTGACCATAGCACAGAATACACTTTTGAATTAATGGTGCCCCATTGGTATTTCATAATAGAAAAATTAAGAAACAATTTCAGGAAATACAGGGGGGAAAATAAATAATTTCAGGAAAGGCATATTACATGATCATTAAATAGCTATTTGTATATTTACTAGAACATGATTTCTCAAGCAGATGAGAAGCTCATGTTTCCTGTAATAAAGTATTAATTAATTGAACTATACAATCTGATTTCCCAGCACCGGTCTTCTGATTAATTTTCCTCTGTTTTTAATATGCTGTTGAGAAAAGTTTCAGATTTTAAGAGAATCAAAAGCTTTAGAACTGTAACAATTTCTCATCCCAGCATGTATGTTTCATGTGCACAGAAACAAAGAAAATTTCTGTTAAAGTTTTTTCTACTTGTTATTTTTTTAAATAATATTCAACATCTTATGCATGAAATCCTGCAGCCTTTCCACCCAGAACTCCCATTGCAAATGGTACTGTTTGTGTGTTTTTCATATTGGGCAGCCAGATGTTCTAGTGGTGGCACTGTTTAGAAGTGTATATATACATTACAGCTTTTGGTGAAACCTCATGAGAGAACTTATGCTGCGAGCCCTTTCTCCAGTGAATAGTCTTATTCATGCAAATATTGCTGTTGGGTTCCTTGCATGAGAAAGGATGACACTATGAACATTGGTTTGCAGAGGGGATTAGGAAGTATTACCCTTTTAAAAAAAAACCCACCTATTTAGAATTAATTGATAGTCCCTACAGAGGTTTGGTTCCACTAAATCACATTTGCTTGCAATGCCAGAATATTTCTGTTACAAATTTCAATGTTCTTAGGATGCAATTGTAGTTGTTCTTAAATTGTGGCTCTATTAAACTCATACCACATTTCCCAGGATACAAGGCCTAATTTTCAGAGCTGCTGAAAATTCAAAATGAAGTCTGATGTGGTTCTGGGTACTAAGCACCTCAGAAGCACAGGCCTGTATTTCTTACATACATTTTGATTCTTTATTTATATCAGAGTCAGGCCTAGAGGCCCCAGCCAAAGTCAGGGCTCTCTTGTGTTTAGGTGCTGTGACAGTCTCTACTTTGATGAGCTTACAGTCTAAACAGACAAGACAAAGGGTGGAAGAAGGAACTACTGTTATCCCCATTTTACAGATGGGGAAAGAGGCATCATGAGAGAGCCAGCTGCTGGGTTCAAGAGCAGAGTTGGGTGGTGCTCCCTCCCAGCCCCGCATGGGGGCTGGCCCAGACCTCAGCCACACACCCCTCAATGTGTGTCCATGCCCTTTGGCATGACATCTCATCAAGATTAAGCCACTGCAAATCCAAAATGCTAATACAAGGTTATTAAGGAATCTTTAAAAAAAAAAATGGGAGTCCAGACAAGGAAATTCCATAAGGCTATGTGCTGCAAAGTTTGATACTAATATAATTGTTACACCAGCTCTCTTACAGAACTCAACAATAGCAGAGTGTACACACTACAAGCAAAAGAAGTTGTCAGAATTAAGGCTGTGCCACTTCCTGTATAAGGTAAGCACTGAAAAGTTGTTTGCTTAGTTTTGCAGGACTTTAGCATAATGTTATGTGTTGAATGGGTAATTTTGCTGTGTTCTAAATATAGTGGGAGGGAAAAAGACTCGCAATTCTACTGCTTCAAGATTAAAGGAATCCCTCTGTGAAATCAAGAAGAGACTCACTCTTGCACAATTCTCACATTTTTGCACCTTCCTTTGAAGTATACAGCATTTCCCGCTATTTGAGGCAGGGTACCTAAGTAACTGAATCATTGGCCTTTTGGGAGATGGGCAATTTTTGGTTCCTAGATTTCATTCAGGGATGTCACAATAACTGCAAGCAACTTAACCATTAGTCCGATTCCTCCGAGCTACAATAGGTTAAATGCCCTAGAGACTGAGTGCCATAAATCTGCAATCAGTTGTGATTGCACATATCTTCCTAATAGTGCACGAGGTGCTGTGAAGTAACTTCCAAACACTTTATCTCCTAAGGGAGACTCTGCTTATTGCAACTTCCAAAATCTTCAAGGCTCCGGTGAGATAAATAGATTTATTATAGAAATTAATGGCTATTTATTCCCCTGCCATCAAAAAATTAGGCCAAAGTTCATAGAATGTGTGTGTACTTTGCAGCTGAACACGTACTGTACTTCTATCTTCTGTAGAGTCCACAGTGGAATAGAATCTTATAATACATTTACTGACAATCACTAATTTATGCAGCACTCTATACAAGATATAATGTGCATTCCTTGCCCCCAAAGAGCTTTCAATCTAAATAAAACATAGGGCAATGGCATACGGCATGGCGCGTCAGTGAAGGTATTAATTATGATAATAGAAATAGGGTTACTTGAAGGGGAGTTTTAAGCAGGGATTTGAAAGTGGGGAGAAAGGACACTTGACCATGAAGTCAAGAACCAGATGGCAGAAGCTAAAGCGCTCAAATGGGATGTCGATGGATGTATAAATGTAAGTCTGCAGTGGGGCTAGCATGGGGAAAGTACTGAAAGAGAATGGGGGAAAGGAGCTGCATGGCGCAACGGGGAAGAGTGTAGGGAATGAGTAGAGGACAAAATGAGAGCTAAGACGTAGCCTGGGACAATATTCAGTAGTAAGGACATTACAGAGGAAGATGAGTTTAAATATTACAAAGTAAGAGTCAAAAGCAACAAAGAGTCTGTGGCACCTTATAGCCTAACAGATGTATTGGAGCATAAACTTTCGTGAGTGAATACCCACTTCATCAGACGCATGACAGAAGTAAGAGACAGAAGCCAAATGGGAGATTCAAGCAGGGAGGGAGGTGAAAGGTTGGACTGGTGAGAGAAACGGATGGATTTTGGTCTGACTTGACTGGAGAGAGCCGAGAGGCAGGGAGAGAGGCCAGGTAGGAGAAGGCTACAGTTATCAAAATGACAAGGGCTATTGTTTGAGTGCACCAGCAATTTTAAAAAATCTTTAGTTGATTAGCTTATCCTTACCCTGAACTACAAGGGCTGCGTTTAAGGATGTTGTTGTTTTCCTTTGACCCTTGGGCTGCATTATGTGCATCTCAGTAATAGAGCCTGCAGCTGCAGAAATTTAGGGCATGGATGTGAGTGACATTTACTCACAAAAATAATCCCAACAACTTCAGTGGGATTACTCATGTGAATGAAGTTGGTGATGTGCATGTATTTGTAGGTTCTGACAAACGACCTTGCTAGAGGGCTAGAAGAAAGGGTGGCAAGTTGTTCTCACATCAGATAAGGACCAGAAAGAGAGGGTCTCTATTATCATGCATGAGCCTAACTTTCTGAAAAATTCTCATTTACAACTAAAGTTGTCCAAGCTTCACCTCAGGCAAGAGGTAGCTGGGGCAGGGCAGGGCAGTAAGAGGAAGTAAGCAAAATGGTCTTGAAGTGAAGGCATTGAACTGAGACTCAGAAGATATGGGTTCAATTGCTGGCTTTGCCATAGACTTTGTGTATTTTGGGGAAGTCACTTGGTGTCTCTTTTCTTCAGCTCCCCAACTGTAAAGTGGAAATAACACTTCCCTTCTCTCACCTTTTGTCTATCTTTTGTAAGCTTTTAGGGGCAAAGACTGTTGCTTACTACGTATCAGTACTGTACCTAGCACAGTATGCCCTGATCTCAGTTGGAGCTTCTGGACATTGTCAATTCTGATAATCTCATCTATTTTTGACCCCTATGAAGATGTGGAAGAGAATGTACTTTTCTACTGTAAGAAAACATCAAGAAGCTACTTTTTGGCTTACATGTACTAGGTGGCAGTTACCACCTGAAATGCTCATGTTGACTATCCCTTAGCAGGGTCTAAATGCCAAACTCTTCTCACAGTATGAATGGAAATGCTGTAGCCTCATTGATTCTACACAGGGTGGGATAGGATGGCTTGCCCCTTTAAAGGCTGGAGGTCTGGAATCAGCCAGCCTTGGCCTCTTACTCCTGCCTGTCACACCTGAGATGAGGAGTGGGGTCTAACTATTAGAACCAGCTGAGCATTTAGGAGCTGATTCCCCAATGAAGAGCAACAGAAAGCTACAGAGTGAGACATGCTTAAGGAGACTAACCACCACTATGAAGTGGGAGTGAAATACACCTCTACCCCGATATAACGCAACCCAATATAACACGAATTCAGATATAACGCGGGAAGGCAGCGCTCCAGGGGGGGTGGGGCTGCACACTCCAGCGGATCAAAGCAAGTTCGATATAACGCAGTTTCACCTATAATGCGGTAAGATTTTTTGGCTCCCGAGGACAGCGTTCTATCGGGGTAGAGGTGTACTATAGAAACTGCTAGAAATGAACAGAACACAGTAGCAAGCCTTGAATCTTCAGGGAAAAGTTTTCAAGCAGGAAAGGCCTAGGAGTATGGTCTTGAGGGGGATTCTGAGAACTTAATTTTGGGAACTGTTTTATGTTAATAATTTTAGCTCTGAGCTGGGGTGTTGATGAATCAGAGATAGGTTTGTGCTGATAATCTGAGTTCAGGGGCCCTGAATTAAAGACAAGAGAAACAGAGGCAGGGGCCTGCAAAGCAACCTCAGACCATGACAGGAACAGGGGGCACTTGGGAGGCAGCCAGTCGGTTCACATGTGTTCTGGCAAATTAAGGGATGGGGATTGTTGTTCTGAGAGAATTAATATAAGGGATGAGTTAATGCAGTCTACATCATTCCCCACCCCCTTTTTTTTATTACACCATATTTTTGCAACCATGACAACTGGACCCTTGATAAGCTGCCAACCCAATGCACTAATCAAGCAGTTCAGACCCCTTTGCAAAAGCAGAAGGGCTCTGGTGTTCTCCCATAGCACAAACTGGCTCTCTTGTGCTCTCTCCCAAAACATATCCTCAAAGCAGGGGATCCAGCCTCATCCCCCAAAGTCAGACTCCAGTGCGTGTGTAACTTTTGGTCTGCTCTGCATCAGGAAAAATCCCTTCTACCCTAGGGACATCTGTTCCAAACCCCCCAGAGTGAACACACACACACTGGAATAGTACAGTGAATATAGGAAAGGGAAATATTTATTCACAGAGGGATGAATGGAGAAAAATAACAGGGGGAAAGACATGGAGAGTGGTAAAACAGAATTGCATTCAACACAAGGCCCTGCACAGGCCCAGTGGTAGCACAGTCTGAAAGGGCAGACACTGAGCAATACATCTGCACTCAGAGTTCGGGAGCCCTGGGCAAAGTTCCAGTCCCGTGGTGAGTCTTGAGTGCTCCTGGTCGTCTTCGGCGCTAGTGAACTTTCCCCAACAAACCCCTCCGGGGCCCTCTTCTGCAGCTACACAGAGCGACCCCCTCCCCACTTAACTAGCTAACTGCCTCCCTCCTTATCCCCAGTGCAAGGCCACAAGCTCCAGTACTCACAGCCCCATGCAGCTCTGGGCAGCAGTGATACCGGGTCCAGCTCCGGCCTGTCTTCGGGTGATTCCTCCCTGGCCCAGTGCTCCCCCTGGCTCCTGTCCTGTGGTGTCCCGGTCGCTGCTCTGTCCCTCGCAGGCTCCGGGCAGCTTCTCGGCTGCTGCTTTCTGTGAGGGCCCCGCTGGCTGCAGCCCTTCGGTCTGGAGCTCCAGACACACACCCTGTCGCTCTTCCCCCACCCCCCTGCACTTCCTCCTTCAGGCACAATCAGCACTCCCCCCCCTCAGGGCAAAGATTTAAAGGGCCATGCGCTCTAAACCCCAAAGGGGTTACACACAGGTGGTGGAGCTCTCCACTACACGCAAACTGGAGCCTCAATCTCTACCCACCTCACACAAGGCCTTGGTGTCCATAAAAAAAACACACTGGAGGGACTAGGCACAGAGAAAATCCCCCCTCCAATCTACACAACCACTGAGAGGCTGGGGACAGAGCCCACTCTGAACAGACACACTGAGGGGGGGCAGGGATGGCCAGAGACAGAGCCCCCTTCACAAAAACACTGAGGGGGGTAGGTTAGGAGCAGAGCACACCCCACAGAACGGGGGTGGAGGGAGGCAAAGCCCCCTCCCCAACCCAACCAGTGGGGGGAGGAGGAGAGGGAGGGACAAAGGCCCCTCCCCCACCCACAGCTGCAGGAAAGGGAGGGAACCAAAGCTCCCCCAAATAGCCAGCAGTGGGGGGAGACAGCAGCCTCCTCAACTAACAGCCGGGGGGAACAGCCCCCTGCTCTCTCTCACACACGGGACGGTCCCCACCCCTGTATAACGGCTCTGGAACCCTTGCCATGGGGCAACGCACACCTCAGCCTTGGGGCCAGGGCCGGCTTTAGGCCAATTCAACCAATTCCCCTGAATTGGGCCCCGCGCCCAAGCCCCGGTACAGTGTACCGGGAAGAGCCGGTGTGCTGGACCCGGGTGGCCCGGCTTCCCCAGGGGGCCCTGCCCGCAGCCAGCCCCTGCCGCACCCCCACCCGCACCAGCCCTGCACCACCTGCCCTGCCGCTACCCGCAGCCAGCCCCGCACCCCCTGCCCACAGCCAGCCCCGTCGCACCCCCTGAGCTGTCTCCAG